CACACAGATACGACAAACACACACACACACACACACACACACACACACACACACACACACACACACACACAGAGTCACACACAAGAAGGTGGGTCACACAGATACAAGACACGAACCGTCACAAAAAAGAAAAGGGGCACTCCGCTGCTAGTCTAAAACACCCAGCAGCAGGCAACGATTCCACACGAGACTGTGAAATGCTCGTGTAGAATCTGGACAGCTGTGGCATATTCAAGGAACAAAAACAACTCTAGCATTCTACAAGAGAACTGTGAAAAGATTGGAAGTTGATTGAACCTACACAACAACTATCACTCCTCCAATGTACCTACCATTCAGTGACACCACCTACAAGGGCGAACCGTTATCTGACCTGAAGGACCAGGAACAGAATCGTGCCAACAAATTGCTCACGAGGATGACGAAGAGTTGTTGACAGTGGAACCTGCTCTACGCTGCAAATGAGATTGTCCGTGAGAACAACATGCTCCGCCATAACGCGGCATGCTTCCGCAAGGCCACCGCACGCAGCATGAGTCGCTCATCAGGAGACAGATCACCATGGAAAAAAGACAAAAGAACTTTAAAGAAGTTTAAAATACACAAAACTTGGAAAAAAGTCAGAAAAAGAAACCCCCTCCATTCCTAGGATCGATATCTGTGGTATCCCGTTCTCCCTCCATTCTTACAATCGATAATGTCATACACACGAACCCAAAAAGAAAACTTTGGAACAGGTTTGAAAATTTTAGGTGAAGTCGCACCCGTAAAAATGTAAACAACCTGCTGCACTGCACCCAAATACCAGCAGACAACTGCCCGCTATTTCTACAAGAATTTCCAGGACACCATACAGGATGGGACCGGGACACCGCCCAGGATGGGACCGGGACACCGTCCAGGATGGTACAAGGGCCAACAACCGGGATGGGAAACAGAGATTGCTTTAGTGAGGCATACACACACATGAACCACTCGTCGTCCCTCGTTGATTTGTTACGGTTTGTCATTGTTCTTGCTTCTCCAATGCAGTGGATGTTTGCTCCAAGACCCAGGGCGGAACTCGGAACGGTTGTCCCAGTTGGGCCCTCAGATATAGACTGGTGGAGCACACGGGAAGCTGTGTCCAATCAGGCAGGCAGAACAAGGGTCCCACAAAAAAGCAGCCCACAAACTCACCGCCCCAGATATCGACTGACGGAGCACACGGGAAGCTGTGTCCAATCAAGCAGGCAGAACAAAGGTCCCACAAAAAAATGGCCCACGAACTCACCGGACACGTGATGGTATAAGTCTTGCCTCTGGAATAGCAGCACGCGTCACCGTTTTTTTTTTTTTTCGTTGGGGGGAGGGGAAGGACCAGCACCCGCTCGGCTTACAACAGGAATGACGTTCTCTGAGGACATAGATACCAAAACAGCAATGATGGGTGTTAGAATGCCAGCAAAAGAACGGCAGCACACATGTCACACGCTGCTGCACGGCTTGCACCAAGAGTAATTGCTGTTGTCATAGTCCTCGACGCATTGGACATTACAAAGCGCGTCCTCATGCTTCCCTGCTTATTTGCTGACCTGCCAATAGGATGAGAGACTGTTAATGTGCAAGCTAATCGAGTCCACGTCCACGAACACACAGTAAACACCATGCACGCTGAAGGACATGGGGAGGCAGTTGACCCACCCCCTGCCCACCTTCGGCATCTTAAAGCACTCACCCTTAGCTCATGGCCCCCCTGTCTCCCCTTGCCCAACCCAGCCCCTTTCCACAATTGGAGACCTAAAAGTGTGAGTAAGCGCTGTCCTTCCTCCCTCCCTCCCTCTTCTTGGGATGGCCGTCATCCTCTTTTCCCTGCTACTCGAGTAGCGAAGGCCCTCGCCTGTTCTTCTGCCCATGTTCTTCTGGCCATTGATCATGGCTGGCCAAGAATTTACCCAAGCATGATAGAGCAGTCCAGCAGCCTCAAGCTTAACAAGCGCAAACCAGAAACGGAACCACCTAGTCTCTCCGACGACCAGCAGTACGCAGACACGCAGAGAGACTTTCTGCCAGTTGGGACAATATTCAACGAGACAAGAAACTCGAACGAATCACTAAAATAGACGTTCTGGAGAGAATGATATACAGAATCCTTTCTATGTGCTGGACACCATCAAAATGCTGGTGCTAGCAATGGAACAAGATCAAACAATGACTTCTTGCAGAGCACATACGTTTCTTCCCCTCCCTGCCTCCCGACTCCCAATGCACAAGGCCCGCAAACGATTGCACGTACTTCAACCCACTATGAATGACAACACCTGCAACAACCAGCCGACAAAATAATTGTCTGGATGCATATCGTCGGGCCTGTTCGCTTCCCTTGCTTGGAAAGGCGGCGGGGTGGGGAGGGGGACATCAACCACATCCGTTCAAACCTCTCCGCTGCCTCGCCTATGAATATGGGAGACTTCAACTACCATTGCCCTCCCACTTCTTCACCTCCGTTCACTCGTTTACTCTTCTCTACCTCGAGGCTTGAACCCAACAATGAACTAGAAATTTCCAAACCACTGTATGCCATCCTGCATACTGATGACTTGAAGTTGTTTGAGAATGCAATGTGCATCGCGCCATTCACGCCCCAGATTGCTTCATTGGAGTTGAGCAAATGCATCAAGGATGGCTGCAGGGAGGAGATGAAGGGCCTCTTCCTGAATCAACACAGAGAACTGATTCCAAACGTTCAAATATATTACAAAGGTGAAAATCTTGAAAAAAAAGAAGAATAGACCAGAAAGAGAGGTGGCATCCTTCAAAACTCGCCTGCTCTTGTTGCATCCAAGAATATCAATGTGGCCTCAAACATCGATGCCATACTTGCATGTCTGTCGAGCATATGTACAAACCTATCCGTGTCAACAAAGCGCCATAACTCTGCTCATTGCCTGCGCCCATGTCGCTGTCATTGACACCATTAACCCATCCCTGCTATGCTCCCAAGATTGATCTCCACCTCATCAGTACCTCAGCACAAAATGCAGTGCCTTTCTTCACTCTCGAGTCGTTTTCGACCTCCGCACAAATCCTCCTTAACTCCCATCCGCTTCCACTAGTTGCCGTAACAACAGACCCATCAGCATGCCCAGGGATAACCGACCATCAGTCCCTCCCAAATCTGCCCGCAGCTTGAGTTGCATGGCACCAGGCATGTACACAGGCACGCAAATGTGCGCGCATGTGTGTGTGTGTGTGCGTGTGTGTGTGTGTGTGTGTGTGTGTGTGTGTGTGTGTG